ATTACAGGTGTGAGCCACCGTGCATGACTGGGAAAAAAAGTTTTTTTGGAAAAAAAAAAAAATTTTTTTTTTTTTTTAAAATATATCCTTTAAAAAAAGTTTTTTTAGGCCAAAAAAAATCGCCCAGGCTGGATGGCAGTGATGCAATGAAAAAAAACTTTTTTTGGGCCAAAAAAAACAGTTTCAAAGAATTTAGGCTGGGTGTGGTGAAAAAAACTTTTTTTCCCAGAAAAAAAAGAGGCCACGGTGAGCGAATCACTTGAGCTCTAAAAAAAATTTTTTTGAGACAAAAAAAAGCAACATGGTGAGACCCTGTTTCAAAAAGAAAAAAAAATTTTTTTTAATAAAAAAAAAAAATAAGAATCATACAGCAAAGGTGATGCAGCAAAAAAAATTTTTTTGTAAAAAAAAAAATATTTTGCAAGTGAAGTGCAGAATAGCCCAGAAAAAAAGTTTTTTTCCTGTAAAAAAAACACTTTGGGAAGCTGAAGTGGGTGGATCACTAAAAAAAATTTTTTTAAACCAAAAAAAACAGCATTAGGCGGGTGTGGTGGCGTGTGCCTAAAAAAACTTTTTTTGGGAGAAAAAAAAGAGAGAATGGCTTGAATCCAGGAGGTGGAGGAAAAAAAGTTTTTTTATAGCAAAAAAAAATTATATAATCCCAGGTGCTCGGAAGGCTGAGACAGCGAGACCCCATCTCAAAAAACACAGTGAAGTAGCAAATATGTGCTTCACCCTGAAAAAAAAATTTTTTTGCAGGAAAAAAAAAAGGATGAGAGAGCGCTGATTATCAGTGGGGAAAAAAACTTTTTTTGAGGCAAAAAAAATGAATTCCTAAGGGGCTGGGAGAGGTGTTACAAAAAAAATTTTTTTGGTCAAAAAAAAAGTGCACATGGGCTGTAGCTGTACATGCTTGTAAAAAAATTTTTTTTCGTCTAAAAAAAATGGTTGGCACTTCCGAAGGACACGGTCAGTTAAAAAAATTTTTTTTCTGCCAAAAAAAAGTAGCTCACTGCAACCCCAAACTCCTGGCTCAAAAAAACTTTTTTTTTCAGAAAAAAAAGTACCTGGGGCTGCTGGGATTGCAGGCAAGCAAAAAAATTTTTTTTTAATTAAAAAAAATTTTAGGGAAGATGTGGTTTCCCTATGTTACAAAAAAAGTTTTTTTACTACAAAAAAAAAGTGATCCTCCCACCTCAGCCTCCCCTGTGTAAAAAAATTTTTTTTACAGGAAAAAAAACTGTGCCTGGCCAAAAAAAAGATTTTTTTTTAAAAAAATTTTTTTTAAATCAAAAAAAAGTCACCAGGATGGAGTGGTGCAATGGCACGAAAAAAAATTTTTTTTACCTCAAAAAAAAAGGTGCAAGCTTTTCTCCTGCCTCAGCCTCCAAAAAAACTTTTTTTACAGGAAAAAAAAACCACGCCCAGCTAATTTTTGTATTTTTAATAAAAAAAGTTTTTTTCCATGAAAAAAAAGCTGGTCTTGAACTCCTGACCTCAGGTGATCAAAAAAACTTTTTTTCCCAAAAAAAAAAGATTATAGGCGTGAGCTACCACACCCGGCCCAAAAAAAGTTTTTTTAAATTAAAAAAAACGCGCATGCCTATAATCCCAGCACCTTG